CACCTTGAATTGGTGTTCACGGCCAAACAAAGAGAGTTTGGGTCGTGAACTCTCTTAGGGCCGCAAACTCATGCCTTAAGCATGATTTAACTCTCCATTCTTTCATTTCCTAACTTCCAAACTTAAGAACCAAAGCCATTCTCTCTCAAGTAGCATACCGTTCTTCACCTGATTTTCCGAACATGTAAGTATTACTTGACTTGATTTGTTGTTATAACCTATCTCCTAGTCATTATACATTATTTCATCCATTCAATTGTTGATTTTCATTAGATCTTCAAAACACCAAGAACACACACTAGTGTTCTTGGACCTTAATCACCCAATCGAGCTCCGATCTTGTAAGTGCACTTGCCCTAGATTCTTTTATGCTTAGTATGATCTTAATAACACTTGAAACTCATCAAGAAACCATAGAACAAAGGATTTTACGGTCAAGGATGATCTTGGGCCGTCAACCCCTTTCAAGGTGGTAAATTGGACTTTAGTTCCTTCCTATGCCTTATATGCCAACCTTTATCCTTCCTAGAAATGTTTAAGACCTTAAAAAATAATCAAAACAACTCCTCATAGGAGTTTATGGCCGTAAACACCTAAGGAAAGGGTCCTTAGGCCGTAAACTTTACTAGGTAGTGTTATTGTGCCCTTAAAGTTATCCTAAGGCTTGGACTTGATCATTGGATGTTCAATCTTGACTTGTAAGACCTTAAATCACCAAATGGCACTTAGTACCATGAGTTTACGGCCGTAAACTCATGGGGGTAATGACATTAGGCCGTAAACTCCATAAAGAGTGGTCTTTGGGCCCTAAACTCCAATGTCATGCCATACAACCTTTAGATGCAACCCTTTGGTACCTATAACACTTGAATCAAAGTGTTTTCATGTCTTAGGGTGTTTTAACTTGGTTGATTAGTTGTTAATTGACTAATTAGATACATATATATTTGATTATATGTTAACTAGGATCATTGTGTGTGTACAAGTCCTCACTTGTCACTTAGCATCCTACATCTTCCATTCATCCAAACCACCAGCTACAGGTGAGTTCATACCCCTTAATCAATGTTTTAAATGATTTTAAATGTTTTAATGGGGGGGGGGAATACAAGTAGAAAACAACATGTTATAGAATCAATCACACGTGATTATAATTGCATTTTCATCCAACTGATTTCACATACTTCAAAATGTGATAAACACAATGGTTTTGACTACTATACTTTGATTATCAAAACGATTTACTTCTGAAATGTTTTAAGAA